AGAGCGTGACTGGGTGGAGGTCCCAGCTCCTCGTAACCCGCAGGCACAGGGTGGGAGGAGGAAGAAGGGGTGTAGAGAGCAAGCTGACTGGGGAACCCTGGCAGCCAGTGGCACCGCTGTACTGGCCCAGGCTCCATGTGTTCTAGCTAGTGGCCCTGCTGCCCATGTGCCAGACTGTGGGCCGCCGAGGCACCTAATGCCACACAATACGGGAGTCACGGGGACGCCCCTGCCCCGACTCGCCCTGTGCGCCACGGTGCTGTGCTGCTGACGGCACGGAGCTGTCGCTGGCACCCCAGTGAGGGGAACCACAGTCTCCACAGGGTCCCGCTGTCCTGCCGTACCTGGACTTGTGGGGACACCCTGCACCCGAGGACCGGAGAGGGCAGTGGATCCCAGCCAGCCCAGGCTCCCAAGGCTGCCAGGTGGCACGTCTGCTTCCCCCTGGGTGACTACCTGCCGCCTGTCCCCTCTACTCCCTTAAAGGATGTCACAGCACATACAGAAGCTCCAAGTGAACCCCCAGCCAGTCCTTGCTGAGTACTGAAATGTCCCTAATGAGAAAACTGTCCTCCGAAACAGGATGGCCTTAGACATCGTTGCTGCCTCAAAAGGGGGCTCCTGAGCCATTACCCAAACAGAATGTGTTCCTACGCGACGAGTCTGCTCACGTGTCACCTTCATTCATGCACAAGGATACAGTGAACACCGAGTGAACCCACGCCAAGCCCAGAAGAGTTGACACGTCACTAGTCCAGCCCTCGGGGCTCCTGGTGGGGAGAGTCGTTACTGATTTGGGGAACCATCACCTTAACCTGGGATCCCTCTTGCGTGGCCTGCGCCATGGGTTGCGAAGCATTTAGTGATTCCCTTCACCTGCTCCCCTAGACCAGCCTCGTGTTTGCCACGCCCCCGTGTGAGTCCACGCGTGCACTCCGTCCCACAGCTGGTGTGCCCTGCGCTCCACACACCGCCCTCCCTCCTTCGCAGCCGATCCCAGCACACTCGAGGGAGATACATCGTCTGATTTAGGACGTGCCGTTTACCGCAAAGTTAAAAGGCCGGAACACAGTCAGTCTGCATTTGATAATTTTCTGAAAGAAATCTAGTAAGATACCCAATCGGGCTACTTGACAAGTGTGGGAAAGGTACAAAACTGGAAAGCGTTATAATTTCTAAATGTTCTGAGCACAGGACTCAGAAAATATTTGTGATCAATTCAGAAATCACAGAATTCTTAAGTTTTCAACAGAAAAGTAAACTTATTCAGAAGACAAAATCTCCAATGCCACTACTTTCTGATCTTGAGATCAGAATGGTGGTAGGAGAGATGGATGAGGAGGCTGAAATGACATGGTTCATCACCCTGAAACACTGTAGTGATCAGACACACTCACCGCAATTCTCGTCTGCTTGGTATCCGCTGTCTGCCACTTCCTGATCGCCCTCTGCGGCGATGTACGCCCAGGTGTCAGTCTCATCTCTCGTATTTCTCCTTTCTTTAAGTTCCTGCTTGCTTTCCTTGTTTTTGTGATCTTCTGCGATTTTATACTCCACCGGTATTTCTTCTCTTTTCTGATTATTCTCAGAAAAATCATTTTTTTCTTCTGGAGTTAATTTAAAGAAGTCAAACGCATTTTTGATTTCCTTAAATGCTAGTGGAAAAAAATTGATAATAGGAGTCAAATTTCTGCTGTAATCGAAAATCTGGGTTCGTGTTAAAGAAATATGTACTTTCCTTAAGGAAGTTATGGTTCATAAATACAATGAAATAAATTGTACCGCTGTATGAAATCCTACCATTTGCAATGACATGAATGGACCTAAAGGTTATGCTGAGTGAAGTAAGTTAGAGAAAGATATATACCATTTCACTTATATGCAGAATCTAAGGAACAAAAATAACTAACTAAAAAACAGACCCACAAATATAGTCTGACAAGGGCCTGCTGAGGACAACAGCTATGGTGGTATCCTGAAGCTAACCTGGTACAAAGGTAACTTATGGTGGCAAGTGGGGGGAACGGAGGGTGCCATGCCAGCTCATTGTCTGTGCACCTGGGAAAACCCACTCAACTTTTAACTAAAGCCAAAAGCGAAAAAGACTGGCAAAGCACGAGGTCTGCCATAAACCCCAAAAAGGGCAGAGCAGAACGAAGGGGCAAGACCCCACCGTAAACTCCGCAAGCAGAGCAGCTCAGTTCTACTAGCAGAGGACACTGAAAACCAGACCTCGGTCGTGCCCTTCCGATGGAATGGAACGAAGGTGGAGGAGGACTACACAGACACAATAAAAAAGTACCTGAAGTTGACACCCAAGACAGTAGAGGGAAGAAAAAGTTAACCAGTTCCAATTACACAATATTTTGAATCTCCTCTCCTGTCACTCTTTGAATAATAGATGCTTTAAACTGTTATATTACTTTACACACTTAGTCTTTAAATTGCACTCGCTTTATGCACGACCCACCCAGACGATGGCCTCCATCTCCCTGCCACTCACTCCTGGGTTCCAGCCAAGGCACAGAGCCGCGTCTCCTTCTGATGCCATTTCAGTCACACACAGCTTTTGGAAGAAAACCCGAGGACTGTCTTAGGATGTGTGAACTAATGGATCCACTGGGGCTTATTTGAACACCGCGGCAGGAGATGTCTGACGAAGCACCTCGTTCCAGTACCGCGCATTACGGTCCTCAGTTACGGTGCCTCATGATGTGACTCAAAGCACACAGTCAACACGGCGTTTACGCAAACGACACGAGGCTAAATACAACAGCCACATTAAACAGCAGTTTCATGCAGCATCCACTATACAGGAGACATTTAGTTTTCTGCCGTAGTTAACGTCCTGTTTCTGTAACTCTAACGAATTCCATCATCATACTCAAAAAGAGAAAAGGCGAAGAGAAGGGAAAAATGACTGCTAGAAACAACACAAACTGTTATATAATAACCTACGGAAACGGGTTCAACTGAAGGAGCGTAAGGTTCTAAACTGCCCAGGGAAGAGAGTTTCCCAGTTCTGTGACACTGCAGGTTAGGGACGAGACAGCCACAAGTGAACTGAACCCCTTGTATAAAGGTGGCAAAGATAAAGGTCAGAGTTCGCACTCACTCTTCAATCCCTTTGGCTCCCTGCGGCCTTTTTCTTCCTTGTCCAAATCATGCTTTCTCTGGTATTTTTCTTTGGGTTCATTTTTTTTGGTCTCTTTCTCCTGAAAGAGACACATGTAAGACCCAAAACAGGTACAGATAAGAACTGATACCAAACATCTGAAAACTGGAAACACAGGTCCCTGGCCACTGTGACGCAATCTTGTTTCACATCTGCTGCTTTGTCAGTTGACGTCACCTCTTACCCACGGCATTTACAAAACAGTAAATTCAAAACCAACGCCGGTTTCCTCAGGTTTCTCTTAGTAATTTTATTATTAAGAATAAAGAAAATTCCGAAAACTTCACCCTGCAGTCCTACCACCAAACGTGGCTATTTTTATTTCTGCACACACTGCCTCCTGATCTTTATCATTTTGCACAGATAACTGTTTAAAATTCACTTTTATACTGCACATTTTTACATGGCTGTGTTCTTAAGTACGTATAGTTTCTTCACCATAAAATTTTGTAAACTCTTGTAATTTTACTACATTAACCCCATAATTAGTATTTCTATGGCTATGTAATATTTCCCAAGTAGATACAATTTCTTAGCCACTTCCCTCATGGCGAGGCTGGTATTAATTTTAGGAAACACTGCTCTAAATATCTTTGTATACACAGCTCTTTCTCCTTTAAAATGATTTCCTTAAGATAAATCCACAAAACTAGGAATAATGGATAAAAAAATTGCTTTTATAGCCCCTGAAAAATACTGCATGTGTGAATACTTTCAAAATGTAGAAAATACTTTGTTTGAAAAGCTATATAAAGGAATTTTTGTATTTCTGTAACAACTAAAAGGCCTAGGAGGTTAGTGTGCTGCGTGTACTCTCATCTAAGTAAAACGCGGTGTCTTAAGACCGTGGGGGACGATGGGAAGCGTGTGAGCTGGGGACACGCCAAGCCCACAGCGACGCCGCGGTCACGAAAGAACACGGCGTGGCATTCCCTGCGCAGAGGGACGCTGGCTGGCCGGGCCATCCCCGGCCGCATACTCACGTCCCCACCCGCGTACTCACATCCTCGGCTGAGCTGCCCACCCGCCAGCTCCTGGGCGCCTCGGCCTCCACGCTCCGGCTGCGCTCCTGGCCGCGAGGTGTCTTGCACGTGTGTCGCCGGCCAGGGCCCTGGCCGTTCTCCGGGCCTGCGCGGCCCCGTGGCTCCTCAGCCCTGCGGGGCCTCTTCTTGGCCCCCTTCCCCCTGCTGTTGCCCTCCTCCTCCATGCTGCCCGCATCGTCCCGCGGGCTCTCTGACACAGCGTCCGGCCCCGCGTCCAGCCCGGCTTTCTCCTTCGCGCCTCTAGCCCTCGGTTTCTCCTCTCGGTTGGCAGGCTGGGACTCGTCATTGTCCCCCTCCTGGGAAGAGGGCTCGTTAAGTACACTTGATTCCAAGTCTAACTGAGAGTCCGCACCCCTCTCTTTCTTTGTTTTTCTGTTTTCTTTGGAATCTTCTCTTATTTTAGCCTTTGAATCTCTTACTTCGCCCTTTTTAACTTTCTTCAATTCCTTGGCTTCTTTTACGTCATCTTTTTTGGGCTTCTTGGGTTCCTTTGGTTCTTCTTTGGCTTCCGAGATCCTCTTCTTTGTCCTCAGATCGAACCCCGAGCTCTCCGGGGTGCTCTCCAGGTCCAGCCTGGCCCGCTCTCGGAGCTTCCCGGTCTTGGCCTTCTTCTTCTTCCCCACATCTGGGCTCGGCTCTTCCCGCTGCCTTAACTTTTTCTTTTTCTTCTTTGGAGAAGTATCTTCCTTTGTCTCACTTTGCTGATCGCTATCAGAGTTCGCCTCAAATATGTCATTACTTAAAGAGAGTCTCTACAAAACAGAAAAGATTTAAATGCCCATTAACATAGTAATTTAAAAGGTTTAGAAAAGCAGCACTAAGAAATCCAGTAGAAATGTTTTTCTCAAGTGGTTTCTCAACTCCTTAAAATCACTCACCTAAGCGGAAGTGGCATACTATCACTTTGATCTAACAAACAGGCCTGGGGAGTGGCGATAAACCTCAGTTTCGAAAAGCAGATAAACACAGCTGCTGAAGGCCCCAAACTATGGCAGACATGAATGGTCCTGTGTACCGGTGGGTAGCTGTTCATTTGAACTTCCAAAATTTGCAAAAACACCAAGAAAGTAATTTGTATAATAGAACTTTCTTGGTTGTCAAAAAAGTAGTTACCAATCCAAGCACAAGAGTATTTAAAAAAAACTCTGGGTCCCCAAATGTCCTTAAACTTGCTATTACATGTCACTGTTTATGTGGAATGAGCAGAGGCAGCACCCAAACCTCACCCCCGCCACCGGTCTGTTACCGACGGCGACCGTGTGCCGGGCAGCGGTGTGGGGGCCAACCCCGCAGATACAAACCCCCACGGCTGCTCAAGTCCTGCATGTCAAAGGGGCGAGACCACCACATACAAGTGCCCTCCATGCCTGCGGACTGCCAAGGCTGAGTCTGGCTGGCTGTGTGTTTACTGGAAAATATTTACATGGAAGTGGACCCGTGAAGTTCAAACTCGTGCTGTCTGGGGCCAAGCGAACGTGAGTTAGACAAGGAGGGAGAGGGAAGGCAGGGAGGAAAGAGGCGCTTAGTTAGCAAATAAACCAACCTGCTTATCAAACTGATAATATAACCACAGAGAAGAGAAACAAAAGAGTCCAAGTAAATTTAACACTAAATACACCCAGGGAACCTACTGCAAGTGAAGAAACATACGAATAACTGCAGAACTTACCGCAGAATGGAGAACAATGGGGACGGCAAACCTGACGCTGATCTCTAATCACTGCAGCAATGTCCCCTGCCCTGCTTGCTGGTTGTTATAACTGTCACCACAACAGTTGGCAGAGTCCCCTGTAAGCGCCTGATCCTTCTAATGCCCCACCCCCAACCCTAGTCATCTGTGAAGTGCTCCAGTGCCGGCTCCTACGCAGGTAACTGCAAGAGAAGACTTTTCTCTGGCCACCAAGACTGTTCCCCAAGGTAGTTCGTTACCATTTGTGGGTTTTACACAGACAATGGGTTGCTTCAGCCGGGAGTAAATGTAGCAGTTTGATTTTAGGCATCAGAATACTATGTTTCAAATGAATCCATCTGGGGATCCTTGGCCAGATTCAATGAAGTCAAGACATTAAAAGATTAGCTGCCACTTGATGAACAGTTATTGTCTACCATCAAATAACAGGTATTAGGTGACGGAAAGGAATGTGTTAACTTTAAAAGTAACTATAGCACTTCCCATGTGCTAGCAACCTGTCTTCTTACTCATTTTAATAGTCTGACATATTATTTATGACCCCAATCAGGACAACTCTGAAAATGAAACGGCTCTATTAATAACAATACCAAGGCAACAGGTGTGAACTGGGGCTGACCCAGGCAATTCATGTCACTCTGCTTATGTGACCCCCGTCCTCGGGAACACGAGGGCATGACAAAGCGGTGACGCATGTGTGGAGTGCACAGTATATGCCCCAGGCCACCTCTCCCCAGGTGACCGCCTGTGGAAATCATGAGGGCTTCCCAGCGCAGCACCCCCGCCAGGCTCTTCCGGAAGTGCACCCCTGCACTCACAGAGCCCCTACCGCCTTTGAGAACCGCTGTGACTGAAAGAAGAGGTGTCACTAGAAATTAATTTCTTGCATGACATTAGCAATTCTCAGGAAGACAATTCCAAAAGAAAAATTTTAAATCATTTTGGGCCACGGCACTATTGGAACAAATTTACTTTATAAAATGTACACAAGGGTGTATGCAGTTATTATTCTATAGCCACACTTTAAACAAACACAAGTATTTCAAAAAAGCTACCCTACACCCCGTCAAAGCGATCTTTGAATCTTAAAGGTGAACTTATCTCTTTACTGAGCAGTAGTAGACAGGCGACTGTTTCCTGATTTTTTAAAAAACATATTTGTTTACTGATCAGAAGATACACTGATAAAAAAAATTATTATTATATTTTTAAAAAGCAGAAGGCAAAATCCTTGGTATATGGTACTGCCCTTAAAAAATAAAAATCATATATGTACAGCTTGCAAGGCACCTCAAGATCGAAGGCCAGATTTTACCAATCTCTCTGTAACTGGCCATTTAAAGGTCTGGCCCACATACGACGTTCTATATTTACCAGAAAAAAAGCTTTGCCTAAACAAGGAAAAAAAAAAAAACCCAGGAAGGTAAAAACAGTAAAAATGTTGCTGTAACAGTACAGTGGAAGCTCACCTGTGTCACATGTCAGCCGTCACGTGCAAGGCAGGCCAGTGGCTGCCTTATTTGTACATTTTCAGTCCATTAAAAATGAAGGAAGGACTAGACCATATTGCACATAATGAATGTTAAAAAGCACCTCAATTTTATTTTTAGTTTGAAACACCTGAAGATCAGCATAAAGATAAAAGGGTATCCAAACTCTAAATAATAAAAAGTATTTTAATGAACAAAAACCATTTCTGCATCATGTATTTTTTCTAGTAAATGATATTAACAACCATTTTGGGATTATTTTAGAAACCGTTTCTAACTTATGGTGTTAAGTCCTAAGCAAGCAGTGTTCCCAGAATTAAGAAGAAAAAGTGAAAAATCAAATATTCTTACAGATGCTACTATGGTAAAACCTCTCTAAGACAAAAACTTTGGTGATGGGGAAATATCACGATTTTCATAGGCAGCACACATGCTGCTTGTATGAACGCAAAGAAAGGAACAAAGCGGTTTTCTCCTACTCTCTCTCTCTCTCTCTATTGTCAAAGAATCAAAAGAGCCTTTGAATTTCACAACTTCTTTTGCTAAGGGGGAAGCAGGTCAGCGACTAGTTGTATTTCTGCCATATTTCTGTCCACTGACACCACCTCAGTGATTAGGCCAAAAAGTTACAGAAACATAACGAGAGAATGCATGAGAAAGCTGACTTGATACAGGTAATGGAGATTTTGGTCTTATGAAGATCTGAAATGTTATTAGGACCTGCAATTTTAAATTATTTATGAAATAGTGAGGGTAGCTTATAAAATGAGAGTTTAAAGTGGGGAAGTATCTTTCTAAAATTAGGATAAGGATTTTTAAGTTTAAGAGTATGCCTCAAGCGCACCAGTCATCATCACTAATTTTAAATCAAAAGAGTTGCAAGATGCGTTTAACTGGAGGCTTGATAAAGTGAAATAAAGGGGTAATGAAACCAGAGTTCTTCAAGACTTTTTGGGAGAAGTTTCAGCAAATTTATCTGACTAACAAGACAGGAAAGTAAGAAATTGATAAATACATACACCTTAGGAAGACTTCAATCACAGAGTCTAAATTTTGAGAATAATATGAACCAATCACTGAGTAAAACTTGTGC